GAGCTCTCTGTAAAAGTGACTGTGGTTTGGAAGGCAGGGTTATTCTTACAGTGAAAGTAGAATGAAATTGAGGGGATTTGCAAGACTAAAACAGTAGAAAGGAATGTAATTCTTGGAATATATTAGAAAGCCAAAAGAAAAGTGTCTTAAAGTGTCTTGTATTTGACAGCTTTAACCCACTCCCTACTTTCTTAAATGTGCAAGCTGTAAAAGTAAAAATTACATGTCCAGTCTCTGCCAAGTGTAGCAGTGGTGAGAATTATTTGTGACACTGCCAATTAGAGAAATTTCAGTCAGAAATATGATTACTAAAAAGATAGCATTCATTCACAACTAATAGGTTAAATGAGTTCTATACATGACTGGATAGTCAATATGTGAAAAGGATATTTTACCAGTAAGTAGACTGAAAGACTGATTGTAATTTGTGCAATCATAGATTCTCTTTAGGATTTACTCTTGCTTAAAGAAAACTACCTATGCCTGTGCTTTGTATATCTACAACCTGCAAGCAACTTGTAATTACGCTGGCTGCTAAGCTGGTGCTGGGAAACTCAGATTCCTTCCTATATGCAAACGGACTGAATATTTCTGTGCTTTGTGGCAGGAGTTTAAGGTGTTGCTGCTGACACCCTGCAGGTTTTGTGTAAAAGCATAAACAGCATTGCCCTTTGTTGTAATATGGAAACTTGTTTTTTGGCTGGAATATGCTGAGACAATTTGGCTGCATGGCTGCTTCTCTTAAATTCTGTGATTCTGTGATTCTGTGAAATCAAGAATATACTGAAAAGATTTTTTTGAAAAGCCATTATACAGAGAATGAGACACCTATAAAAATATGTTTTGGAACAGTGTCTGGAAAAGACTGTGAAAAGCTTGCAAGAGATTTTTCTTCTTGCTCAGAATCCTCTTCATATTTACTGAATATTTTGTTTTCTGAGTGATAAATAATAAGCTTTAACTAATGTACAGTTTCTGTGTTTCTGGATTTGTCACTCCAACACAGCTGTAATTTTGTCAGCACATGAACTATATGAAACAGTCTTTCTTTAAAGTTTTATTTTGGCCTGTGGCAAAGACAGCATTTTTTTCAGAGTAATATAATAGACAATCTTTTAAGACTCTCCTAAAAGCTTTACTGGTCTTTGGATCATACCCTGGTGTGGGGGGAGGGAGGATTAGGTAGACTGAGCGTAACTGAAAACACTTACTCAGTGTGCTAAAACAAATGTGTGCCTTACCATATATAGAAACAAAATCCTTTGTGAACTTGGACGTTGTGTAGATAATATCACTTATCAAGCATATGCTGTGGAGACGAAGATTTTAGTTGGTGGTGCTGAGTATATGCTGGAGACTTGTATGCATTTTATTTTAAAACTTCATGTATTAAAAAAAAGGAATAATCTGCTTGTGGAAGTTTCTTGTTAACAATTCAAAATAAGCCATCTGAATAGTTTGCTTGGATGAGAGGAGAAAAAAAAGAAACACAACAGGGCAAATCTGCAGGGTATGGTTGCCTTTAGAGATAAAATTTGCTGGATATATGCCAAAAACCATGTATGATTTCCCACCATTTTATTTATAAATGTATGAACCCACTAGGTAAATAATAATCTTGGCCTTGCGAAAAAGCCCCCCTAAATGAGAGTTTAAATCAAGTGCCTGTGTTTTACCTGCAAGTCAGATCTACACCCAATTGCACAGTTGTTCCCTTTTATATGGTTTATAGAAATTTGAACCAAAGTTCTTGATCAAACACCTCTGAGCTTTGGGACATCTAAAGCTGCATCCAAATTCTGAGACTGGATATATCTCTAGGTTTAAACAGTCAGTAATTTAATTTCTGTTAAGAAACTTTTTCTCTTTGAAAGTTGCAAGAAATGTTTCAAGCCATGTCTGCGTTAGCAGGCAGCCTGGTGCAGTAGGGGCAGATCAGTTGATATTGAGAACCTGGCATCTGCCACACGAGTTTCAGGGAGGGGCTATTTAGCTGTAGTTTAATTCTATGGACGGAATTCCCATTAGTCTTTGGTGCCCACTCCAAAGCAGTACTCCCAGAGGTCATCTTCTAGTTGAATTTCATTGTAAAGGAAAGTGCTTTGTGCACTCTGAAGCTGTTGTGCGATGAGAACCAAAATGCAGGAAGTGGGAATGATGGGGGTTTACTTTCAATAGCATACTTCTAATCCAAACAAAAATGCTAGTCTAATTTTTTAAGTGATGAAATGTGGTTGCAAAACTGAAAGTTTTCAGTTATTGAGTTCCTTTTAAATACTTTAGAGGACTTTTTAGGTTTCAAATTGTTGGTAACACTTCAGCATCACTTAAAAGACTAGAAGCATTTGTTTTGGAACAATTGTTACAAAAATACCATATAAATTAGTTCCTGTATTTTTAGATGCAATTCTTGGCTTACTCATTTGAAGAATTACAGTTTCATATAAGTTTTTAACATCTCCCAGAACAGCCCTACTGTTTATGCAGCAGCAGGATAGCTGAGGAAAGCTTTTCACACCTGTTGATCAACATGTGAAGGCTTGAGATAACAAGCACGTGAAGTCACAGTTACTAACTTTCTCTCCATCTAAAAATAAATTCCATAGCTCTCTTCGGCTTGTAATATATATATAAAAGTCTGGACACAGCTGAGAGTCATAGTAGCATTAAGCTATCATGATTTACTGGCTGTGCCATTCTTAAGCCAGAAGATAAAGTGGATAGTTCTTTAGCTGGACACTTTGTAAAGGATTTTTGCCAGGAATGACTGACACCCTACTGTGATAAAGAATTTGGCCTTGAGCACGCAATAGAGAGAATTGCTATATCTTTCTCTCACATTTAAACCTCTGTATTCAATTTCCCCAGTCTGAAGTGACTGTAGGATGAGATTTCCTATTTTTCTCCTCTGTCAGGATAAAGGATTTCAGAATCTGCATTAACTGAAAATCTTTGTTTCCTTCCGTTGTACTGGTGTAAAGGTTTTCACATAGGTCGGTACTTGCAATTAGATAGGCTTACCTTCTAATTCTGTCAAAGTCATGTCCAAGCCCAAACCTCTCAAAATAGCACCAATTGATGATGCAATACCACTGAACTTTCCCCAAAGTTCTGGCATCAGGTCATGTTCTATGACTTTCTTTTAACCTAACAGTTCTTGTATCTACATTTCTGAGAGTTTCACCACATTTACAATTGGTACGTTTGGCCTGTTAAAGAGAGAGCAGTTTTGGTTCTGCAGTTTTAAAAGCACGTGATCTCATTCAGTTTTAGGAAGCTAATTTTGCCCAGATTACATACTCAAATGCCTAATACAAAAATTGTGTTTAATTCTTGCCAGTGGTTTCATAAATCTGAAGCATACCCCTCTGTCAAGCTGAAAATGCCAAACTTCTATTATTGTCAAGTCACTTGACACTCACACTTTCTCATTTTTCATGCCAGTTGTAAAGAAATACAGAATCTTTATCATATGTAGTAAATTTATTTTTATCTTCAGTTACTCCACGAGGAAATGAACATTAAGCAAATATTTTTAAATACCGGTGACATTTTAGGTTTGTAAAAATATACATTATGTGCACTCTGACTTTCAAAAGGATTTTCAGATTTATTTTATGGGCTTTATCATTGGAAAAATAGAAATGCTACACATAGCCTCTGTAATACATGAGGAACAGAATTATGTTTTGTGCCCAAACATAATTCAGAAACTAACCTTTAAAAGAGTGAAACACTTTTAAAATGTCTGCTTTTAATATGCAGACATAAATTATAAATGCAGTGACACGCATATTTTTAAAACATTTCAATTCTGAAATAATACTTTAAGACATTTTGAGAAGTCTTTGAATATGTGGACATTGTATTTTAAGCTTTGTGACTCATCTGAATTTTTAAAATAAATTTAAGGTATGTACAACTACTTATTTTGATTCCATATTCTTACATTTATGCTTTATATCTTGTAGAATGTGAAAAGTACACAAGATCGTTTGACACTGAGTTGTTAAGTTAAGCTAGTCTTGTAGACTTGATATAAAATTTTGTAGATTTTTCTACTTTAAAGGGGGCTCAAAATACCCCAATAAATCATTTATGAATTGTGTTGATATTTTTTGAAAATGCTAAGGTTCAGTTTGTTAGTCAGTTGTGTATATGTAGCTGGCACCTACCTGAAAGTGATGTAGCCCTAAAAAAGTTTCAGAAATTGATTTAAAAACTGTATTATTTCAGCATTTTTTTTTCCTTAGGGCTTCACCAGGATTTTTGTAAAAGATCTTTCCTTTGTGTATTTTAATTAACATTTATTTTTAGAGTTGTCCAAGTTTTAATTTACCAGCAATAAAGATATTATGATTATATTTCCCCATTGTTTCCGTTATGGAAATTGAAAGATGGAGATGCAAAAAAACAGTACTGTTTTCTGCAGAAAGGTTTTTAAATTTACTTTCACTCTCAATTTGCAGTGAGTTCCTATTAGAGTGTGGTTTGTTGTGGTTTTTTTTTTTTCTCCAAAAAACAATGTATGTGTGTGCATGCCTCAGAACAATTTTCTGCTAAGTGATGTGAAAGCTGATTCAATTGCAAATCATTAAAACAACGTAGAACTTCTGGTTTTGCTTCTTACTAAACAGTCTTTATTATACTAGCCATTTTATTGTATGACCTGATATTTATTCCTTATCACAGTTCCTGCATCAGAAAATTAAGTCAATATAGCCCCAGACTGAAAGCAGAGTAAGCAAAATCTATTGTTGGCATACATTAAGGGTAGTTAAATAATAGATGGTGGAAGCAGACATGAACAACTGCTTGTTTTGTACTATCCATGTAAAATAGCTGCTTTTCTAATGAGCTGTCAAGTTTCTTCTACATTTGTTAGGGCCCAGCCTCCAACACTTTGATGGCTTTGATGTTAATTTATGTTAAAAATAATGTCTTGATTACAGCACTTATGTGTATGCTGTAATAATCATGTAATACCTCAACTGTTTAACTTTTTTATTCCAGTACAGCTGTTTCAGTTTATACTTCATTGAGTTATTTTGGCAACTTCAAAAGATAATATTTTAGCAGAATTTTACTGGTATAATATGTTACTGCTGGCTAATAGGGACTTCAGCCTTCCTCAGAATCCCACAAGAAAAGGTTTAAAAGCTGCTACTTTGGAATCAGGCAGAAGTCCTGACGCTTGGACTGCAGTTCTAAGCTGTTAATGGCTTTTTGTGTGCATGCATATATCTGTGTATTAATGTTAAGACTAACATTTTGGGTAAACAGTAACCGCTTCATATCCCTCTGGTGGCCTCATGCGAGCTCGTGCATGAGCTTCACAGTATAGTTGTCCCTCCACAAAGAAGTAGCCTTTTTGTTTCAGGTTGAGATTGCAGTCAGAGCACACGAAGCATTCTGGGTGCCGGTATTTATCACGTGCCTTCACCACTGTTCCTCTACATGGAAACAATGAAAAGAAAAAAACAATTCATATGATTTTAAAGTGAGAAGAAACTACAGTATGGCACAAAGTAAGTTCTAGATATATTTATCTTAAGACTTTTGGGTTGTTCATCTGATGGTTTTGCCAACTATTATAGAATTTAAGGTTGGAAACTGAGTTTGAGTAAATGATATAAAATACCATAGAATTTATCACATAGTTCAGTAGTTCACTGGAAAACTAGAGTTTAAAAAAACATGTTAGTTTGGTTACAACACAGAAAGTACAGTCTGACCTATAAAAATGGTGACAAAATGAGTTTAAAAACCACTTTTTTTTTTTTTCCCCTCAGTGACTGTTCTCCAAGCTCATCATTATCTGTGTTCTTTGCCGAAGTTAGTGACGTCAGTCAGATAGAAATCTGGTAGTTTTGAAATAGGCCCACAGAGCTTTCCAGATATTCCCACTGGGTTGGGAGAAGGATGATTTATGCTGCCTTGAGAATTCTGAGAATTCACAGCCTGAGACAATGCAGCACAGGTAACTGTTTCGTTATGCATGTGTTAATGATTGACTTGCAAAAGGTCCTGAGAAATCTTAATTAAAGCCTTGACAGTACAATGTCAAAACTGAAATAATCGGTATCAGAAGTGTCTTAAGGTACAGGTTAATAATTGGTGTTTTAGAACAATATATTTTTATGTGTCTGTTCTCTAGAAGAATTTTTCTGTTAGTGCAGAAGACCAGGACTATCACTTGGAAAACATTCCTGTAGTCTCTAGTGGTATTTGAGGACACGTGCTTGAACTAGAGATTTCTAAAACTAAAAAGAAACAACTTACACAATCCCATTCCCACACTTGTCACACAGTGGCACTTTCTGGGCACCAGGCATGGCAGTAGGTGTCTTTGTTACAGGTGCTTTCACACTTCTTGTACCCACAGGGCGTCCATCTGAGAAGTAAAACAATCCTGTTACATACAGGCTAGTATAAAAGCATCTGACGCAGTTAAATACATTTCCTGTATATACACTTCTAGATGTATTTACAGGCTTTCATTTATATCAACAAACAGTGAAGTTTCTCTGCACACGTTTTGTGGGCCAGGTTTGGATTCCTCTTTGGAATCAGGAAAAATATTGTGTAGCTGTAGCCGAAAAGCAAGTACAAAAGTGATCATATATATATATGTGGTGCTGTTTGTATCATAGACATCATCTAATTCTCTAATAGTAGGTCTTGGGTATAGCAGGAGAGGGACGAGGATTTGGCTTTAACATAGCAACATAACATAGTCAAGACTTGTTACAAAGCTTCTTACTTATATAATTAACTATGCAACAAATTCTGAAAAATTAGTAACATGATATTAATACAAAATTACAGCAAAATACAAGAAAATGCCAAGCAAAATCCCACAATGATATATATAGACAATTGGACATATTTATCCCTTCTCTGGTAAATATTGAGATATAAAAATTAAAAATTTAAATATTTACTTTTTAGGTTAATTTTGGTTGTATTTTACTCTTTCTACTTACTGTAAATAAACCAAACTTGCAACCTTTAGTAATATTATTTCCAAAATTTTTTAATTTGAAGGAAATATATCTGTAAATTATATTGTCTTCTTCAGATTTTATTTAGAATGAAGAAAGGATGGGTGAAACTTATTTTAGGAGTTAGTTTAAATTTCTCTTTTCCTGGATGTGGAAGAGAGTGTTTTCTTTCTTGGAGTCATGAGCTTGTCCCAAAAGTTCTCTCACATAAGACTTTTTTTAGTTAAAGTCAACTTTCTACATTAATGATCTTAAAATCTGAGAAGAGATTCTGAAAAATGTGATTAATGCCCCCATTTTATTCACACATGAGACTGCTAGCTATAAAAGCAAGGGGGGAAATGTTAGGAGGCTGGTGTGCCATCTGTAAGATTCTGCATGACTTGGGCTTTCAGAAATTCTAATAGTGCTGATTTCTCTTATTTTCTTCTCAGATTCTCCCTACCCACAAACATTTAAAAATGCTTTGAACAGGTAGAATATGTCATTATTAACCACCTTCCTCGGAGACTAAATTCTGGAGCACCTTAAAGGAGCCAGACTGGCGAGGTTGAGTGGGCTCCTCCTGGTTGGTGTGCAGCATCTTGTACACGTCAGACTGAGGCACTGAGTTGGGAGATGGGTCACTGTATCACAGGGAGGAAGAACAGATAAAGCAGTTTAACAAACATAACTTTAAAGCAATAGCTCTACCAGGCATAGAATATTGTTCAGGAAACAAATATAAAGACAGTGTGTTTCTTCAACTACTGAAGGACTCTTTCTTCCAGGTACCATTGCTTTATATAGCCTCCTCTTGATCTAAGAAGTGCTGAAAAAAAAATAAATATCTGTGCAATTGTTACAAAAATAACTGTACAAACTCATGAAAGTATTTCCATAATTACTGTCATGGCTCTAATGGCATTTGGAAATAGGTTGGTACCTGTGTTTAACCTCAAAGCAGTTGCATTCTGGTAATCAACTGCTGTTATTACCAGGTGCTGTTTTGTACGGTATCCAGGAGTTCCATTTTCACAGCAGCTGCCCTCAAGAATGTTGATAAAATCACAGTTCATATCTTTACACAAGGTCAGCCAAACCCTAAGCAAACAAACCTTTTAGGAGAGTATCATGGCATGAAGGTGTTCTTCCTTTTCTAAGTTGGCTTGATTGCTAGTTTATATAGTGATTATTTGGCTGAGAGAATTGTTATTTATTTAACTGATGGATATGACATAAAACAGTGAAGTAGGTATTGCATAGTAGGAAGCATTGTAAGGTGAACACTGATGAATGGAAATTCTGTTTCTTAATTTAATTAGAATGGGACATGGCTTACTTTTTGTAATGACAATTTTATGATAAAAATATAAAGTAAATTATTATCCAAACAACAGCCAGTGGTTGAATTTCCAGTGACCTGCAAGCTGAAAATTTTACCAAGAATATTAAATGGTAATTTAAACCGTGCAGAATGTTTTCAATTGATCATGATAACTAACATCCTAAGTAGCTGAGAGGAAGAATATATGACTATATGCACTGGCAGAAATTAGGCTGAATGTGTGCTGTCTTTAAATTTCAAATTGCTACTGAGACTAATTAGAAAGGTTCAAATTTATGATGTCTGTTATCTCACCAATATATCCATGAATGTCCAGTTTCAATTTCCTGTTGCAACTGGCCTCCTGGTGTCCATTAAACCTTAGGTAGGTTTCCACTGGAAATAAGCAACTAATTCCACAAGGAATTAGACTGGGTTTTGCTTTATATGGTTTGGTTTGTTTCCCAGGGTAGCATCTAAGCTGTCAAATGGCACAGTAAGAGCAGCTGCAGTTGGGCAGTGATCCCTGTTGCTTTTGTTAATTGTTTGCATTTTCATCAATCAACAGATTTCTCCTGCCACTTTCTTCTCTTGTCACAAGATTTTAATGAATAGAAGGAGCTTAGTTTTTACAGTTCTCACCAATGGCTAATTAAACCCTTGATTCTCTCCTCTTTACTAAAATATTTCTAAACATCAAACAAGTGATAATGCATACAGAAGGCTAAAAAACCAGACACAAAGGTGTGAGATAATATTTCTAAATGCATACACCATGAAAACCAATCCCACAACAAAAGAGACATTTCAAACCTGTGTAGAGTCAGTTCTCAAACTGGGAATGCCACAGGCATTTGTGAAATCTGATTACTCTGGGCTTAATCCATGATTTCAGAATAAAGAAAAAGCAATTTTTTCTTTTATTGTTCTCTAATTGTGATTGAGGATAAATATTCATGCAGTAGAGTAACATCACTCTGCAAAGACTTAATGAACTACAGTTTTCTTTTAGTCACATAGGGTGAACTTAAATGCTTCTATATAAATATGATTTTTATGATTAGTAGCAACCCAATTCTGCAAGGTGCTGAAGGCAGCTCATTGGTGCCAGTGATTATTGCTTATTTAAAATTTTAGTAATTAGCTTTAGTTTACACCATACATATTATGAATTATTAACTTAAGTACTGTTGTAAAACAGAAAAATAAGTTGCTGTTATGCAAAAGTAAAAATATAGCTACGTGAATGATGAATTGTCTCTTGAAAAAAATGAATAGTGCTTCAAAAGTTTTTATTGTATAATCATCATTGATATCTGGATACATAAGGTTCCTACCTGACTTTTAGTTATTGCCATGGATAAAATTATTAAGTCAGAGATGGATTAGTAGGCTGTGACAAAGTCAGTTCTGTTTCTTTTTGGGTAAGAACTAGTCATACTGAATGAGTTGTGCTGAATGAGAGTTAAATATCTAGAACACTATAAACATTTACAAGCTTAATAACCTGAATTTCAACAGTTTAAATATATTTGAGTTAATAAAATTTTATTAATTATTAGTAAGAATAAGTTATTAAATGGTTATTAAAAATAATTATGATGACAATAATAAATAGTTTTGAATTTTGGAGGGAATCAGAATTGTGATTTTGGGTGGTTGGTCAGCTAACAATCCAGGTAGCATCATCAGTTTTTTAATTTTTTAGCTACAAATATAAGATTATTTCCTATAAAATATTTATTTGTAAATTCTGAAAGACTCCTTAATATATACCCATTTTTGTAGAAACAGTGTGATATTATTAAAGGTCATGATTCTTGGTATATTCTAAATTTGCATATTCATCAATCTTAAAGATACTGCTCTAATTACCTCATTATGGGTGTTTCCCCCAGAGCTGTAGAAACTTGGCCTTGCAGTGTTTCCATGATATTGTCATCTGAGTACAACTGCATAGGTGTGTTAAACTGAGCGTGTACAATCTTGACACCGGGAAGCTCCATTTCCAAGGGAATGTTAGGAGCCATCTTAGACACTGCTTTCAGCTCGGTGGGGCAGATAGAGCTAACCGTGCTAATTGAAGAGGGGGTACTGCGTCCGCTGCCACAGTCAATCCCCGAAGGAGTGCTGCATCCACTGTGTTAATAGCCAGATTACGGAGGAGTGTGCAAGGCGGATCAGATTATAGAAAATAAAGACAAAAGTACAGGAATACGGTGATGTTAACAGGCTTGAAAAGCATAAATAGAACAGATACAGAAAAGTAAAAATATAGAAGGCTGAGAAAAGCAAAAGTATGTGTATTCATTGAAAAGTATTTTCCTGTAGAAAATATCAATGCCAGTTGTAAAGCAGTCCTTAAAATTCTGGCATTATTTTCTTTAAAGATAGTAAAAATTCTTTGATAGATTGAATAATTCAGAACAGAGTATTACTTTACATTTTTAATTCTAGATTTTGTTGAGGATTAATTAAACCTTCCTAAAGTTCTTCATTCTATGTCATTCTTAACATCTACAAAAGGGTAGCACACAAAGGTTATGTGAGTTTTCCGTGGCAGTGGCTGAATAAACACTTGCAGTACTGGAATCCTAGACTGGAATCATTCCAGTTCTGTACCTCACAACTATCTTAGTCCACAGTAGAAGAGAATACTATAAAGTAGTATAAAATAATGAATGTGACATTTCCTAGATTTCCTTAAATTCTACAATAAGGTATTTATCAATTGTGTAAACTTAGTTTAACCATATTTTTCATTGTTTTAGTATTTTTTAACATTTCAGAGAAGAAAAGATACTAAGACAGCCAGGCATACTTTTGCATTTCTGAATTACAGTATTTCCAGTAGAATGTAAAGTGGTCCATCACAAGAACAATGCATGTGTATTCAGAGGGCTAATTTTACTGCTTTTGAAGTAGTTTTTACATATAATTTATATACAATAAAAAGATGTACAGGTTTTTAGAAATATTAGTGTTGCTTGACTTTATTGAAGTAAAGTCACTGCACACCAATTTGATGTCCCTGGAAAAGAATTAGTAAAATAATGTGAACATTCAGCCCAAAGTCTTTTTCAGTGTCACTGTTTTGAATACTTCAGTCTTTTCTCCATTAACACCTCAGAGGCTTTCTTTGTTATGGGATATCTCTTTGCTGTTGCTGTGTAACAGCACAGAACCCAGGCTTTCCACAGTTATTGGTTACTATTTATATGCTATGCAGAGCTTTGAGATGATAAATGTGTAAACTCTTTCCTCCAACCTGCATATGAGGGTTGTGGTTAGTTCTTTCCAAGGTAAAATGATTCTGTGCAAACCTGGGAGAATACTCTGTTTCCCAGTTTGATAGTACAGTGCTCTGCCCAGTAGCTACCCTTGAGTGGAGAAGACAACCCAAAATTCTCCCATTGATTCAGGGGGGAATTTGTGTAGGACCACTTTCTCAAAAACATAAAGGAAAGTATATACTCTACCAACAAAAACATACCAAAAGAAAGCTAATTCCAGAAATGGTAGGCAAGCCTTAAAGGAAAAGTACAGTTCTGCACCCCTGCTTAGCATGAGCCAGCCAAAAAATTCACACAGGGGCAACTTATTAATTTGCAGTCTTTTCTTTTAGAAGAATCAAGACCACCTTTAGATACTACAGTAAAACAAGTTTTGTCAGTTCTGATAGTGTTAGTAAATAGAAAGTAGCAGAAAAAGGCTAGAAAAAAAACCCACAAAGAGCAGCCAATGTTAAAGCAGAATAAATTATAAATATAAATAAAATAATTAAATATAATTTTCAGTTAGTTTTGCCAGAATACAGTCCAAAATCATAGCTAATATCAAATCCATTAGCTCAAACCCACAGGCCAAAATCAGCTCTTCTTTTAGTCAAAGTCCTATTTAGTGTCAATTCTGTGTCCTGAAGGGATATGTACCGTCAAGGTGGCAGTTTGGTTTTTGCTGTGTTTAGCAGAAGATATATATATTGAGCCAAATTAATGAAAAAGTAGCAGACAAACAGTGTGATAACCAACTTTTTTTTAGATGAAACACCCTCTGTCAGAGATCCTGCAGTTTGTAAACACAGACTTCTCCAGTGCTAAAACACCTGACAGACCTTGCCCAACTAAAGTTCTGATACTTGGTGCATCACTGTCAGGTTAATTTTTGCAAGTTTTTTCCCCCATCTGACATGCTGGAAAAATGGCCATTTACTTCAACATTTTAATGGAAAACATTGTGTAATTGAAGTTCCTGAATTAGGAGATTAAGCTCTTGATACACTCATGTGAATTTCCATAAATATGATTCAGTACCTGTAAATGATACCTAGTGGTCCAAAAGTCAGCCTAGATACAACATGCAAGTGCTGCCACGGTTGGAGGCCATGTATGGGTGCTGAAGACTGTTCTATCATTCATCCTGTAACAGCATCAGACTGCAAGGAGAGATGGGCACCTCTTCTCCACTGCAGCAGTGTTCTACATTCATAGTTCTTGTTCACAGATGGATAGGACTCTATTAATCTTCTACAGTCTCCTCTTTATCACTCAGGTGGTTGAAAAATTTAACATGTCTTACAAAACTGATAAACCATCTGAGATTGTCCTTTGTACACAGGAATCGATTATCATCCTGTTTTTCTGGTCTAGTTTATCAGACTTACTATAATTGAAATGCAGGCATTTTAAACTTTCAGAATGAAATGCAGAACACTAATTCCACTGGTAATAACTGTTACTGCTAGAAAGGATAAAGGGTAGCATCACAATGTGTTGCATCAATCGGGTGCTTTTGACCTTACTTGCATTTTTAGCCACAGAGTTTTTTCCCTTCTGTATTTAGTAATGCAAATAATAGTAAGTGAGGCATTTCATCCCCAGTTATGATAGAGGAATTAAACTAAAATGATGGATGTAAATATATAAGCTTTCCTGCATTTTAGAGCTTCATGTGTCTGTGACATCAGGTAGTTCTATTTTAGCTCTGCATTAGGTTGCCTTCTGAATAGAGGTCTGCAGAAAAACAAAGTTGAAATCTCTGAATGGTCATAACTAGCTATCTTTCATTTAGCAAGTTATCAAATTACAAGTATTTGCATTTGGACAGGAGAATTTCAGAGTGCCATCAATTTAGAAGTATGTGGCATCTGGTGCTATGATGTAAATGGATCCAGGTCCATGAATGCAGTTACTTCAGACTCATATCATTATATCTGAGATGGGAGTGTGGATCTGCTTTCTTTTGGAAACAGAAATTTGAATTTCAGGCTCGATCTCTGCAAGTCAACCATTTCTTTTTTAATTTCAGTGTTAGGCTATGTACTACTGTAAGTAAATTTCAAATGCATCAGTATGCTTTATTAATGTGAATGGTGAGTACCCATTAAAAAAACAACACCATGCATCCAAATCCAACACAACACTCAAGAGCTTATAACCTGCTTCGGCCTGAGACTATGAAAGGTTTGGGCCGAATGTTATGCTTGTGTTCAAAGTAGTTCACATCCTGTAAAGAAAAGAGGGTTAAAATAATATTTTTGGCCTATAAATGCTTATTTCTAGTTAAAAAGTAGCTAGCAAAGTTTTAAAATTGTAACTGTGAAGTGACTGTTTAGTTTGTACATTCCTGTTACCCAAAATACAATCACTTTAGTGTTCAGAAACTTTCAAAGTGCAGTGTTAAGAGAGAAGGATGGTAGGTAGTGTTGCAGCCCAACATAGAGGGCAAATTTTAGCTACCTGCAGCATTGCTACTACAGAGCTGAATGGATAGTTTTCTGTGTTGGAAAAAATTGCTTCATTTATCACCATTTTGTTTGATAATTAATAAACTCCTGATTTTCAGAAAAAACAGCAAGAGCTGGACTTTTTAATAGAAAACAGAACATATAGTGATATACCACAAATGACCAAGTAAATACCGGTACTCACTTTGGTGATGAGTTAGGAATGAGACCCCTCAGTTGTCCATGAAGTGCGTCTTGAATATTGCCAGATGAATACAGCCCAATTGGAGAATTATAGGAGGAGCTCACTACCTGTCTTTTGTCACCAATATTTGCTGCTGCAACAAAAGGCTGGGCCCTTCTGTTGTGAGCTGTACCAATAGGCTTGAATTCCTGTACATGATAGGCAGACAAAATACACAAAGCTACAATGCACACCAAAGCTAGTAATGAGTAAAACTGACATCATCAGTATTGTTAATCTCTGCATTTTTTACTTTTGCGACTTTGTTATTTTTTAACTGGTGCAAGCAGACTATATTTTTTCCATGAATTTTCTATATGTTACTTAAGCCATACACATTCAGAGAGTACTATTTTCCTGCCTCAGGGCAAACAGAAGGTATTCCATATTTGTAAATAGTGTGCAACTTTAAGAAGAAATGAGAGGGGTGAATATTATAGTAACCTGTTGTACTGTTCTCTCGATTTTGCACTGTTTACATTCTTTTAGAAACATTTGGTGTATAGTTAGCTTAATTGCTTTGCTTTAGTGCAAATCTCTGGCTTCTGCTTTTTTATCACATACCAATGGAGACATTCACAAAAGTATGAAGATTTTGTTGCAAACTTCTTGCCTAGAAAACACATAATTTTTTAACATTTTTTTAAACTGAAATAGTCTTGAATGTATGTCAGATTGAAGATATTCTTCTGAATTGACCATACTTGGAAGTGTACCTATGCATCAAAAATTATGATGCTGTATAATTTAAGGATAGTGTGAAATCATCATAAATAAATAAATGAAACCCAGAAATAGGCAAATTGTAAATCATTCTGTCAATATTTGTTTATTTCTGGAATATGATTTTATTTCTTGTTGGCTCAGATAATTTCTTCTAGTTGTGGAATTCATAGGGAGAAGATCTGGAAAGAAAATCTCTGATGACCATTCAGATAACTTGCGATGTGCTTCTGTGGTGATTGGCCAGGAATGATAAATACTGTTGACTGTGTAAAAATTCACTTACTTGAATTGTGCATATTTAGTGCAGTCTTTGAGTCCCTGTCAGCTCAGGTCTCTCCCTAATCCACAGAAATACAGACTTTGGAAAAAATCATGCTATCATCTGCTGAGGGTTTTTTTTTCCTTCTGTGCTAGTCGATGAAGAACATTAGCTGCTCTAGTCCATCACTTTTTCCTGATGCCCTGCAGTGCTCCTTGGAGACAGTATTGCAAGAGCACTTGAACTTCCATCCACATGGGAAAAAAAGCTCTTGTTCCTAACAAATAAGTGTCTACAGTCTAAATTGATCTCTTCTTTAGAGACTGGAACTCGCAATGTTAAGACAGCACAGGTCATTAATATTTATTTTTTCACAGAAATCTTTGCCAGTTCTCTGATTTGGCTTTGTTTTTGAGTGTGATAGATGTACTAGGAATACATCTACAATACTATAGACCATTTCTGTATTTATGTTGCTGTCCCACTGTGTCATATGACCTATAGACCATCTAAGTTCTGATACTGCTGAATGAGATTTATTTCAAATTGTTGAAGCTTGTATCTGTACAGTTTATGCTGTCTGGTATTTGCTATCTCGTATTTTTAATGGTGACACACCCAACATCTCTAAAACTATTTAGGTGCAATTGTGGTCTTTCACTTATGTCTTGCAAGCTGCACAAACCAGTCTCCTTGTTCTGCTAATAAAACTCTAAACAAAGTGGTTCTTTGATGCCTATTTTAGATTACCTTAGCCTTTAGGAATGCTAGAAAAATTTCCAGTTAGAACAAATACAACCTATTACCGAAAACCAAAACAGATATTTGAATACTCAAATCCACACAATAAATCAGATAATAAGAGCAAATTAGAGAAGCATGGACATACTTTTGATGTCTGTAGATTTTTATTCATTCCTCAGGGCATTATTTCTTTTTTCAGAGAATATCAAGTCTCTGGTCAAAGTTTTGGTGAATAGTTTATAAAAACTATGAAAACCTGAATGTGAATTGTCCCTTTTGTTTTAATTTAAAGCAACAGTTTCAGAAATATGTTTAGGAACAGACGTAAAGAAAAGTCATGGTTATATAGAATGTGCAACCAGAAAATGCAAACAGTAAAAAGCAGTTTTATTAAATGAAAATGTTTAGCAGCATTGCGCTGTAAGAAGCTACTGAAAGCAGCAATCAGATAAATCAGCACAAAGATTTTACTTGCAATTCCTTGTTTCTGTCTGATAGAACTGGGTTGCAGTTAACAAAATGTATTAGTAAATGGAAATAATCTACTAGTGTTTAGGATCACGTCTGCTTAATGAAAGATATTAATGTCAAAGATTTAAAATTTATTTAAATCCATGTATGATACAAAGCAAACAAAAACAACCATGAACACTGTAATTTCATCCCCTTTTTTATTTCCTGTTGACAAATGAACAGCACAGAAGACATATGGCACCATAATAGCATTTTTACAATATAACAGTTGTGAAACAAGTATTTGCAGTTAGTTAGACTAAAATTCCATTTTCTTTTTAACTCATCTATTCATATAACATGTCAGTGACAGAACATACAGCAGCAAAAATAGTCCAGCTCTTGTGTTTATTTGATCTCATTGAATCTGTTAAAAATCCTCCTTTAGTTCAATGAGAACTGGAGATTGTTGAAATTCCTAATCAGGAATATTCGAGAATTACAGTATTTAATTTCTTATTTTTTTTATTTTTTTTTTTTCTAGCTGATGTCCTTTTTGCAGGGCTGACTACATTTTGCATTGACATATGTGTCAGGAATAGAATGAATGTAGCCTCCAAAGTCTGTCAAAATGCATTGAACCTGGACCATATGATGGCATTCCTTGGGGTTAATTGCTATGGATAGTACACAGATGTTGACATTTTGAGGGTATCATGTGACTAAAATCTTTACCTCTAAATGCTCTTATGGAAGAGGGGGTAAGTCCTCAAAACCAGACTAGCACAATTATATTGTTTCAAAACTGATTATAATTGGTAATAGACTATAAACTTTTTAGAATAGTGGGATGGGGTTTTTTTAGGTTTTTATGCTTATCTATGTGTATAGTACATTTATGTCTCCCAGGATATAATGTCTTTCATGGCCAAGAGCATAGTCACACTGAACAAAGTGTTCAAAGGCAAAGATAGAAGCAAAAAAGAAAAGCCTAAATAAAAACAATTCAAGAAATTGTGGTAATGGAAACAAATTCATTTTAGGGGAGGTTAAAGGGATTGCAACAGAGAAAAAATTTACAGGTCATAGTATTGGTTTATGTTGACAATACAGCAAAAAGGATTTTAAAAATAATTTTACAAGATACAGTTTGCCATTTAGATTGTTTTATTTTCTCTTCCTAATTATATTCTTTGAGAACCTTATGTTCTAAATTGATTTTATACAGAATATAATGTGATTGTATTAGTAATACTTAAAGTACTCGATTTCCTATTATTTATCCATCACACCCTAGGTTGCTCCAGACTAGTGAAATTAAGTGGCTGGTTTTTATATGGGAGTGGGTAACTTTCAAGAGTGACTCTCAGTCAGCCACTTGTTGCTGAAGTTATTTACTAGAATTGTTGTCTCAGGTTCCTCTTCCCAGAGGAAAAAATAGTGCGAGCTTTCATTGTGCTGTGACAAATGCCTACATCAATCTCTAAACGACTCTTTGGGGATGCTCAACCAAGTGCAAAAGTTTGCTACAGTGTAAAGGTTCCTTGTTCCATAGCTGCAAGTAAGCACAGTATTCAGTTGTTTATCAGTTTTCACATAACCATCTCCAAGCATCTCTAGAATAATTTTCATTCATTTAAGCTAAAGTAAGCATTCTTGGCCAAATTGCTGAACAATTTAAAATACGTTTTACTTTCCTTTATAATTATCTTTTATTAGCTTGCAAATAGAAATTAGGCACTCACTAAGAAGAGTGTGTAAGTCTTCATCTATTGTTACTTAGTTGGCTTATAATGTATTTTAAATTATTGACTTTGTGAAACTTTCTTAGTGAACTTTAAAATGTCTGTCTGGCAAGAGTGAAAAAAATTTGACTACACTTAAAAAATCTATGACTTTTTGACTAAATTTAATTACTATATAAATGGAGGAAATGCTTTTTTATAGAACTTGGTGGTTTCCTATTGCTACACACCAGTGTGTACAATACTTTTGGATAAAAGTGTTTTACATTTGAAGGACTGCTATACTGCTTTTAGATTTTTCTCCATTCGTCTGAGCTTCAATCCCTTTATTTCTTGTTGTACTTCAGCAAACTCTAATATGACCTAAACAGCACAGATTATAGTTGTGCAATAATTTGTCATCTGATGTTAAAGAAACTTTGATGTTGTATACACACTGCTGGGGCTCGTGTTTTGTGACTAAATATGCAGTAAAATTTAATTTAAAATATCAGCAATTGTAGAAAAAAAGGATTTTTTTTTTCTCCACAGGGAGATCAGAGTAATGGATGTTCTTGGAGGAAAGAATTTAATTTAAAATGTAAATCATTCCTAGAATAGTTTAGCATATTTTAGCACATTTTAGCATATGTTTAAATGCATTACTACTTTTCTGGGGCCTATTATTTATTAAGTATACTCAATACTCCTGATTTTCCTAGGAAGGAATGAGGGAGACAAAGTAAAATGAAAAGGTTGGCTAATTAATCTAGGAGAAACATTTTTTTCTGATTACCCAATGGAGACAGCTTTTCAATAGTCTGCCAAGTAGCACTTAGTGAAATCTTATGATTTATTTTTAAGTAACTATCCTTTTTAGGCATGCAGCTTTCATGCAAAGGGATTACTCTCCTGTCATACATGCCTACATGGTTTTCTCTGTAGCTTTTTTAGTGAATTTCTTCCATTGCTATTTATTTTGTGTTTATCCTAGCTATTCAAAATGCAAAAATATGCATGTAAAATTGTTTTGTTTCTTCACTATGCTATCTGCTGCTGCTGAAGAGGCTATATTGTTTCTGATGAAGTTTGCTGTATCACTTAAAGCAAGTTTTTAGATTGGAAAGAAGAGAGAGAGCTGGAACGCTGAAATGCCATATTCATGTTTGGGAGTGTCTCCGTGAAAACAGAATTGGTGGAAATATTTATTGCATAGGATTTACTGAAATGGAATCTGCACTTACATTTTTCTATGATAGCACAGAGCAAATACTTTGACATACTTGCTTTGATCCTGGAAGGCCAGGATCAGCGGAATGCTCTTCCCTCCCCATTCTTGAGAGAACAGCAGATGTTCATGTAGGTTAAAGAGGAATGACAAAGGAATAAAGCACCAGTTGTAGATAGTAGCTAGCTAATTAACTATTAACCATCTGGAGACTTTGGCTCATAGCTTTGCATAAGGGAATGGATGCGAGTTTGAAAAGAACGGAGGGTTTTAATTGATTGGATTTAGTTTGCTCATATACAAGCATCAAGACTTTGCTGGTCAGAAGCGATGAATGATTTGCTTATTGATTAGTACATGGGTTTTGTACAAATTCATAGCTTTCAGTTTTGTGGTGTAAAATAAAAATATATGGCTCTCTCTATTTAACTGACTGTTACATCAAAATGACTTGTGTGATGTGATGTTATGAGTGCGTTGCTTTGGTACGTGACATTTATTCCTGATTGAAGAACTTCCTCATATGATGAAGAATCTCTAAAAGAGTTAAAGCAACTTAAACCATATCAGAAGGAGATATTTTCTTTCTGTAATAAAACTATGGTGATATGTACAGTTTTAAAGAAAAATGAGAATGGGTGGTAACTTGTTAATGTTTTGTTTCAGTTATCTAGTCAGATAAAATGATGTTCATGGTTCATACTAGCTTAAACAGGCAGATAATGGATGAAGTGCTATTCAAAGAATTTTAATGACCATTAAAAATGAGAAATCATTTAGAATGTAAAAAGGCAAATAGAAATGGTTAGGCAGCTTTTAAGTATTCATACCTGTGGTTCAGCTTCCAAATTGATCTTGAAGGGATGTGCTTTGCCATCTTCTGAAATTTGTGGGGACCATAATTTAGTTCCTGTCCTAGAAAGAAAGAAGGGCAGAATTTCAATAACTTGAATTCCTATAGAGTTGTACATGTCAATGTAAAATATAATGCAGCTTGAAAATCTGCAGTTTGTTCTATGCTTTTTTAATGTTCTGACATAAAAATACTTCAATTATATATATGTACTCTATGTAAAAAAAAAACCATAAAAAGCATATATTTTTTTAAAATTACATATACTACAAACAATAGGAGATAATTTGTTAGTAGATAACAAATGCAAAGGCAAAGGAAAATTAGTGCGTTTCTGACCTGAGCTGACCAAATTTTTTACAGTTTTGATTTTTTTAAGGTTGATAGAATGCACATTGGGTCCTCAGAATATTTTGCACAAATAAGTTAATATATTAGTAATAATCCTAAACCAGAACAACATCAATTTACTTTTTTTATGACCACATGCAATTATCAGTTACAATTCTGTCCTTCTTGACAATCTGAAATTTGGCAGCTAATTTTAAAATAGTGTAGTGTTAATGTTAAATATTAATCTAGTACTGTTTGTTATATAAATACAAATATTAGCATTTTAAGAATATGCATATATTTCATAGGGGCAATTACTCTTACCATATTTTGAAAATTACTTCCTAAGAGAGTAGCTAAATGGCATATATCAATCTGTAACAGAACCTGGAATTAACTGGGGGAATTACACACACAGTGGTGTGCTCTACAAATTAGACAATGCTCCTTTCAAAAGAAAGAACCTTTTGTATTTGGAAAGTAATACTGTATTCAGCTGTAATAAAGTGCTGGGCCTCCTTGAGGGCCTCAGGTCAATCAGAGCTGTCTGATTCTTGGAGACAGCTGAAACGGTGCAAGAGGTGATTCTGATTAAAGGCTGAGCATCTTCCCATTAAAGGAGATGGGAAGATGCAGGTTGTTTTTCTTGCTGGCTTTAGTTGAGAGAAATTAATGTAAAAAGATTCTGGACTCCTGCAGTTTAGGTAAGAGAGGGTTTTTAGTTTGTTTTTAACATTACTTTGAGAATCCTGTGTTTGGTTTAATACGTTGTGACCAAAGACTTTGGCTTTAAGCCTCCTCCTTTGTCACCCTTCATGAAAATCTGACATGATGTTGCTTTCCTTAACTGGGGGGGGATGTGCTAGCAGCTTTGAGTGTGATTTGGAGAAGGAGGCAGTGATAAGCACCTGTGGCTGAGGGAGTGTTTGAGCAGAGAGATAACTGACTAAGCAACAGCTAGCTCAGAATTTTATTTTTTCCCCAAAATATGAAGAATTGTTTGTTTTCTGACAGCAAACATAAGGACTTCTAGAGTCAGCAGAAGCAGTGGGTGGTGTGATTCACAGGTCAATAAATGTGGTGAGTAGCCTGAGGGAAACTATTCTTCTTGTGCCCATGAAGGCATGTTCTGGCAAGTCTTGCCTGATCTAGAGCTGGTGAGGTAGGTCTTGGTGCTCATAATTTTAAAGGTTTTGTGAAATTCTTAAAACTTTTTAAAATAGTCATGCTATATAATAGTTGAGCTGTATAATCAGTTGGTTGGGTAGTATCTTCTTTCAGCAGTAAGGAGACATGTACACATACCTCTCTATTTTCAAGCAAAGTTGATGTGCAGCTGCTTTAATTCTCTCCTGGGCATCATTATGTGTCATATTCTCTGTGCTTAGACCATCAATAGCTACAATAACATCACCAGGGCACAGGTTGGCAGCTGAAGCCTTGCTTCCAGGTGTAACCTGAAAAAACAAAATTTAACTGCCTAAGCACCATGCATACCTGAAAATTGATTGAGAAAATAAACTTCACCATACTTCCTTATTTCCTACTGGGTTGGGGAGGGAGGAAGTGGGCCTGTTAACAACTATATGATTGCTTACAAAAAAAGTGAGTTCTCTGTAATTCTGTTGTCAGATCACCATATAAATGCTTTATTGATCATAACTTCAAAGTAGTTAGAAATTATCTTCACACTTATGTATTAAACAGCTTTCACTCTGTTTTCTGTAGTTACTCTAACTTGTCTTTGAATCTTCCATCTCAACTGCCATTGTGGAATTTGCTTGGGAAAAATAGTGAAGTTTTCCCCTTACAACTCCAGGCTGAAGAGCAGAAGAATAGAACTGTTAAGAAATTGTGCTACTTACTCTTCACGTGCATGATGTGCTATTGAGTGAGCAATATAGAAAGCTACTTGTTATCACATTTAAGGACAAATACAACAGATAATGTGTTTTCTGCTAGCCTGGCCTCTCATATTGTATTGTTATCTAATCATAAATATGCTAATAATACTGAAATGACACTTTTCTCTATATTAGTGTCTAATCCAGACCATGAACTCCTTAAAGTGCTTAACTTGTATTTGAATAACAGTGGCCCTGATCCTTCAAGGTGTGGTGCAATTCATACCTCATGGGAGTGTACAAACGTCAGTGATGTTCATAGAAAAAGCCCTCAACTTATCTTTTTAGGCTTGGGTTTGGGGTGGGTTTTTTTGGTTGTTTTTTTGGTTTTTTTTTTTGGTCTGGTTGATAATCTCTGCATCATGGTTAAAATAATTGAAATGCAACAAAATTCTGTTTTGAAATAACTATTGTAGAGAGGTCGTGACCTTAGATGCTAATAAAGCTTGTTCCAGAATTGCAGGCCTTTATTTGCAGATGGGATTTTTCATACCACCACACCATTTAAACAGGTCTTTGATTACTGAGTGGGATTTAGGTCCCTTAAGTGTATGTTGCCATTTTAGGTGACCTTTGATAACCAAGACAGCAAAATGAAATTGAGGGATGTAGCATGTGAGCTTCTGGAATTCAGCTTTTCTGGAACAACAGAACAAAGGGGACAAGTTGATTCATCTAAAATAACTCTAGCTGCTTATTTTTAAGCAAATGAATCCCAATGTGAAGGACAGAAACGTTGATGTAGTTTTATTTATAAGAGCAGTCCACTGATCTGTGCTGTGTATGAAATAAAAAAGTGGTTGGAGAGAATTTATCTCACCATGGGTTCTGCTACAGCCAAAGCAAATGCTATCTCAAATATTAAAATAATTAAGTGTTTTGGAGGACTGGAAAACATGCTATGGAGATATTTTTTAATTCTGGTGTTTCCCAGCTCTCTGGCAGAGGAAGACAGTAAACTGCGCAGTATACCTCCAGTATGTTCTGAACCCTAGCTATGGTGAACCTGACAGACTTGTTGCTACTGAAGGGGACAGTACTAAATGTCAGCATGAAAGTCAAGTACAAATACTCTTTTTGATGTGTTGCACTATATTAGTTTTGAACCAATGTCAAAAATCAGCCAAATAGAGTAATTCTCTCCTCTTTCTATCTGCCCATCTCTGTTAGGTAGGCCTGAATGCTCAAAGAACTTAGTTTGTTTTGTTTTATGGGCTTTTTTGTGCATTCGAGCATGTAAACTTATTTTTGATTTCACTGTGACAGACTCAAATGCATGTGCTATTATCAAGACAATTAAACTTTCCAAATGGGTACTTGTGGCCAGCTGGAGGCTTTTACCTCCTCACCCTCCAAAAGAATGGACTTATGTATTATGTGTTTAACAAAGTGTTATAATCTGTTTGAATATGAATCAAGGAAGTTGCTCATAAATTCTGAGTCTGTTTCTCAAACTTCAACAGCTGCAAGTGTAAATGAATTACACTGACACCACTTACATTACTGTACTAAGACAGGGGTAGAGGTATGATAATGCTTCTCTCTTTAACCTGGGATGGCTCCTGACTTTGCTTACCCTGTTATGGACATGCACAGAATGACAAACTGCGGTAGAAATCCTAGCGTTCAAGTGTGACTGTTGATGCTCTAATACCCAAAATGGGCAAAACCAGTCACTCTTGGTTCCTTCTCAAGGGGAAGCTTGCTTGAATAACCCTTACATGTGTTACTTGGTAGATTATGCTTTTTACGTGCCGTGATAAGCCATCTGCTGTATCTGTGGCATACCTTGGCGACGTCCTGAGGTAATTGTCTTGCCTTATAAAGTAGTATATCTGTTTACCATGGTAAGTTTCCCTGCAGCAGTGCTATCAGCACGACTAACCCCCGCTGTGTTGCTGGTAATAGTGCACAATCCCTTGGATTTTCTTAATGTATTGCCACCAGCTGCAGTGATACCACTATATGGGGTTGGATGGGGTTACCATCGTTTGGTGGGAGCAAGGAGGGAAAGGGACAGGAGTCTATATTTCCCGGTCCTTAGCTGAATTGGTTATTGCCTGACTTCTGGGATGTGTCTGTTGGGCTTTAATGCCTTGATGAGGATGCTGAGCTCTACTTGCCCAGGCTGACTGGCGTGCAGAACCATCTGCCCCTGAGTAATTCTTTCTCTCATCTGCTCTTCAGGGGTTTGGTGGAAAGACCTGGAGCTCTAGCCACCAGGACAGGGTAGGAGGAATGTGGCTGGATGACAGCTTTTCTGTCTCCTCAATATTTCAGGGGGAAATCCTGACTGTTGCTTGTGGGCAAGGGGGAGTAGGTAAAAGTATTGTAGCCTACATTTTATAGAAAGGGACCAGGTTGTGCACTGGAAGATCACACCATGTCATGGGTATAATATTGATATTGTAGGTACCTAAATAATGTCAGTGATACTGTTTCTTAAGGAACATAGCGTGATGCATTAAATGTGTGTGGTGAACACTTAGAACTGTACTGTGACTGTAGTGTTTGTTGCTCACTTTCTTATACTTCGTGAGGTAGATTCTACTGGTGCTTTGGGAAAATTTTTGCCTTGTTTTTCAGGACATGTCTGTGTGGCACGCCTGTTGATCCTGTGTACTAGGTATCTCAGGTTTGGATAAATACAAGGCTATCTGTTGAGCATTCAGATGTTGTCAGAGACTAGATAACTATTTAAATAGCCACATGAGGGGCAATGTCTCCTAAGAAACTTTGAAGATCTCTCTGCATCTGTTAATAGACTTGTGAAGCTTACCATGGCATGCTTTCATAAATATTTCAGGCTCTGTGTTTTCTGAACAGTGTTATGAATGTCTATAGGCAGAGTGACTAAATATGAAATTGAGTTAATATAAATACTTGCATTATGATTTGTAAAGGTTTATATTAAAATAGAACTTAAATCTAGAGTTAATAATATTTCACCATTCCCTCCAACCTCTATAAGTTTTAATTTTGTCTGTAATGCTTTGTTCAATATGACTGAAATTCTAGGATTCCATTCCTCTAAACACTTAACCCAAAATGTTATCTTCTGGTCAGAATAACCGTAAATTATTAACTTTTATTAAGACTAGGGTTTTGATCAATTTCCTGGATGTTTCTTTGCATCTATTTAAAGTTCCAAGGATTTAAAAAATGTTTTAATTATTTCTAGCTAATTTGCTGTTTCTGACCTTAATAGAATATGAATATGTCTATTTTTAGTCCCCTGCTGTTCTTCCTACCCTCCCAGTGATCATGATCTGTGGTTTTTGCATTTGCTTGAAATAGTCAAGAGAATTGCCTTGCTTGGGAACAACAAGAGACAACATCTGTTCTTTAGACAGGTGGATCATCTCTTATGTTGTCTGTCTCTCTTGACAAGTCCTGGTAAAAGCTTTCTCGTGTTGAACAAGGACTATAGACAACCAAACTTAACACCTGTCCAATTATTTTATTCAAAAGGTGTTTAAAAATAATTTCTATTTATTGTTTTACTGGCTAATATTTTTATTCAGGATAGTCAAGCTAAATATGAATGGGCTGCTGGTGATAGCTTTTACAAAAGGAATACCTAGGCCCCCAAAAGCAAGGCATATGAATCTTGCAAAATATTCACTACTTTTTAAGGGGTGCTACATGAATACTTATTTAGGGACTTTTCTTAATGTATGCTGTGGCAGCAAAAATATTAATTTTAAACAAATCTACCAGTAATTTTCTTGAACTTGAACTAAGCAAATATAAACATGACATTTTTCTCTGTATGTATCATAGTTCTACTTGAAATGTGATTTTGAGCATTTCTGTAATATGCTAGAAACCAGTGGCTTGTTGTGAGGCATTTGGTAGGTATGAGTCAATCACAAGATAATCTATTCTTTAGAAAGTTACATTTATAGTAACATCTTTTGTTATTGCAGTTTTAAACTTCATTGCACTTAATCTAAACACAAAGAAAATACAAACCAGACACTGCTAAAATATTTTTCATTAGAGATAATGGAAACTATTTTTCTTTTGGAAGCCCATAAAAGGCAATGAAGGCCCCAAAACATCCAGAGGGTTTTTTTTCTTTTTTATTCAATGTTTTTTGTCTCTTGTTTCTCCAAAGGTTTTGCTGTGTCCTATGAATATTTATTATGAAGCTACATACAGTCAAATAATAGCACTCTGTTTTACTTCTGTTTAAAAGGGTGAAATATTTTATGCTTTATATAAATCTGGAATGAGTTATTAAATGAAATTATTTTTACAAGTATAATATGTGAAAGGTTGGTCCTTAAACTTTCTATAAACTTTTGTTTAAAAGCATATTTACTGCAAGGCATCACCAGTGGTATCCATCCTTCAAGCCTCTTGACGTTTATTTAATACCAGGCATAGTGCATATATTGAGTCATAGTGCAGGGCTTTTTTTTTTTTTTTTTTTTTTTAAAGGCACTCAGTGTGTCTGAGGTTCTGAAAAGCAACAAAAGTTTATAAAGAGAACTAATTCTAGTCTGATGTGCATTGAACACAATTTAAAAAATATATATCAAAAATACAAATTATTCAAAATACGCATTATCTAAACACATATCCTGTCTTTTGGGTAGACCTATGTCTGTAGATGCAGGCCTGCTGACAAGGTTTTATATGCTCCATTCATTGAGTAACTGATTTCTTAAATAAATTGCAATTAATAGCTCAAAATCCATGAAAAATTAAGTATTGGATTCTTGGTCTTTATTGGGGGGGTAAGGTAAATTGGTGTTTTCTGCCATATTTAGAAACAGAAAAAGAACTATCTCCTTCATATTCAGGACTGGATAACTTTCTAATAGTTCACTGATTTAACATTAATGAAAGTGCAAAGCTTTGCATATGTAAAAACAGATGCTGTTTCCTTTGCTGGCAATAATCAGAACTTGATTTAATTAAATGAGAGTCAGATTAATCTTGTAAAGTTGGCACGGAGTTTGCAAAGTGCAAACCTCCAGACATGAGGAGCTGTTGCCAATTAGTCTTCTCCCCTAGTGATCGCAGAGGCTAGTAGTGAAAAAGATAGAAGTGGGGTCTGGCCTTTAGTAGGCTTAAAACTAATTTTCTCTGGGGAAATCATGCCAGAGTTTTTCTGACACCAAGGTACTTAAATTCAGTCTTTGAGGCACAAGTAGAAATGCAGTTAAAGTCTCTTAGACTTTAACTCTTAGACTTTAACTCTTTATTGGTTTCTTAGTCCAATAAAGTAATCCCAGAAATTTGTCACACACAACTTGTGAAAACTGTCAGCATTCAGCTAGCTCTGTTCAGAACTAGCAGCTACTTGCTAATCTACTCACAGCTTCATCTGCATCTCTGAAGTCCAGAAAAGTAAAGGGTAAAAATCTCCAATAACTAATAAATGTAACAAATAGAAAGGAAATGGAAAGAGTACATACCCTGGTTATGATTAAGGGTTGGTTAAAATCTATTCCTCCTGAGAGCCTGAATCCCCAGGGTGCCGGTCCTTGGAGAATAACGTTTTGTGGCATTCTGGATGGTTTCTCCTTGGTTACTGTTCTTTTTCCCTTAGGTCTGTGTGAGGAGCCGAGCTGTCAGAGGAAGGGTGCTATCAGTAGAGCACCTGCCAGACAGGGCAGCCGGCAGAATTTTTTTCTGTGTACCTCTTAGGAAGTTTTACTCATCCCACAGCTGCGGGTGCTGCACTTTATCTGTGCTCTTTGGGTGACGTCAGCCAGTCACTTGGCTTCTCCACCCACAGAGGGGAGTATCAAACTCGGATAAATAAAGCCTGAATGCTGGAAAGTTTACAACAAATACATCAGCTTTATCTGCCGCTTGCTTCAGCGTCCCCCTCAGCCCAACAATCAGTAAGCTTCAGGATGCAGAGTCCTTTTGCTGTCTAAAAGCAGCCACTGTTGCTCTCTGATATCACACTAATTACATTGCTGGTGCTTGTTTCAGCTATGCAATGCACTGCTCCAACTTGGTATACGATACTGTTTCGGTTAAACAGAAATAATGATGTGGAGATTTCTCCCTCAAGCTCTTGTTTTACATCTTGTCTTATTTGTAATGTAATAGTTTATTGTGCTACAAAGTCCTTCCTGCCCTTCAGCTGAGGTTTTTGGCTACAGTCACTTGAGACCATGGCATGCACCAACTCTAATGGCTTGAAAAATCTGGACTGATGTCATACATATTTCTCATACTGAGGAAGTGAAATGCAGTATTAGTTGATGATGTCTCTTCTCTTTGTAGAAATCTTAGCTTTTTTTGAGCTAGTTGCAGGTACCTTCTGTTGGTTGTTGGTGTTACTGCATAAATATTTTGCATTCCTTTTGGTTTTCTTGCCTTAGCCTGATCAGTTTTATTCTGACTTCTGTATCCCTTATATTTTCCTCAAAAGAGAGGGAGAATATTTCAGCGATGGTGTGTGTGTTCAGTCACTTTCTTATCATGTTGTTATAGATTTTTCTTTACATGTGATATTAACAAAGTGAATATGTGCATGGGTAATGTTCTTCAAGCATTTTCCTTGCCCAAAGTTCGGCCTATTCTAGGATAGTATCTACAGCTCTTGTCACTCTTGTCAGGAAGGATTTTTTTTTTTTAATTATATATATTTTTTTCTTCCCCTGAATGAGTCAACAAGTCAGTGAGAGCTTGGAAAGAATAAAAACTCATGAGGATATATATTTGGGGCATAATAACCCACTTTTGTTCACTACGTACGCTTCCCTTTCTTACTGCTTGTAGCCTGCTTTGAAGAGTCTCTGATGAACAAGAAAGAGCAGTAAGTGAGATGGGACAATGAAATGTAGATTCATGCCATTTAAATAATTTCTGATATGGGCAATTTGTTTATCTGTAGATTTCAGTATGAAATTGGGTTCTACCTCTGACTTGTTCAATGTCCTTATCTGTGTCTGCTGCTAATGTCTATATAATTTAAATCCTTCTCAGTAAGATATCCTGAGTTTTGGTGGGAGCCGTGGTGGTTTTTTAGTGGTGTGGGGTTTGTTTGTTAGCACTATGAAAGCTAGGCTCAATTTTTTTTTTTCTTTTTTTTCTGGTGTTTGCCCTTTATTTGTGGTTTGCTACTAGACAGAAGTGTTGATCATAGGCTTTTATATTTATGTTCTTGTCCAGAATATTCTGCCCCTCTACTCTGCTCTCGTGAGACCTCACCTAGAATACTGTGTCCAGTTTTGGAGCCCTCAACACAAGAAGGATGTGTACCTGTTGGAGTGTGTCCAGAGAAGGGCCACAAAAATGATCAGAGGGTTGGAGCACCTGTCCTGTGAGGACAGGCTGAGAGAGTTGGGGTTGTTCTGCCTGGAGAAGAGAAGGCTCCAGGGGGACCTTACAGCAGCCTTCCAGTACCTGAAAGGTGCCTGCCTATAAGAAAGCTGGGGAAGAATTGTTCACAAGGGCATGTAGCAGTAAGACAAGGGGTAATAGTTTTAAACTAGAAAAGGTAGATTTAGGTTGGATATTAGGAAAAAGTTCTTCAATATGAGGGTGGTGGATCATTGGAACAGATTTCCCAGAGAGGTAATGGAGGCCTTGTCCCTGGAGATATTCAAGGTCAGGCTTGATGGGGCCCTGAGCAACCTGATCTAGTAAAGATGTTCCTGCTCACTGCAGGGGGGTTGGACTAGATAACCTTTGAAGGTCCCTTCCAACCCAAACCATTCTATGATTCTGTTTCAAAGACCTTCTCTGTCATTAAGAGTATATTTGGTATCCTCACTGAAATAAAATAAATGGTAGTAAATGTTTCAAAGAAAACTATCAGAAAACTTATCTGTATCGCAAAAGGTGATTGCAGTGTGGTAGTTGGCATGAGCTTGTGGGGGCTCAGCTTACATTAGGGATGTGAAGGAAGATAGGCACATTTAAAGAAATAAGGCAAGGCAGATAGGTAGTCCAGGGTTATATCAGTCTTGGTAGCCTGAATATGTTGTATGTTTCGAAGCTGAGAAAAAACCCAACCCAACTCTCATTGATTGTGAGCAGTGTATATACTCTGATACATTCTGAAGCATTTTGACGTTGATTCAATATATGCCTTCAATATACTGATGCTCTATGTAGTTCACTGTGCTGGATTACATTGTGTGTCCAAGGCTAGAATTTATCACCAAGTAGTACTTCAGTTTTTTACCTTTTCTCTTCCACCCTGATACCTGTTGTGAATGAAAACACTCTTGTGAACACATTCTTGTGTTTGGTACTCCAACCCCTCCCCCCCACCCTTTTCCTAGTGAATCCTAAGATGGCTTTTTGATTTGTAGCTGGGAACATGTACCTTATTAGAGGTATTCATTTAAAGAGTTCTTTCATGTGCAATTTGCATTTTCTTTTTCATTAAGTACTAGCAATCTCAAATAGTGAATCCTTCAGTGCACTTCAGCAGAAAAAGATTCAGAAATACAGGAATTTCTGTATAAAGTAAAACCCATTATCAGACTCCAAGTTTCCAGTGTCAAAAATCAGATACTTTTATAGTAACTTGCTCACTTGGGAGGTTTCTTTGAAATTCCTGTTAATAAGTTATTGGCTTATATCTTAATACGTATTCTGACATGTATGTATGTATGTATTTATTTTAGAAATCCTGTTAATTTCAAATCTTGCTAAGCATTTTGACTGCTGGTGAAGTAGTCATTGGGGTGATCATTTAGGGACAGCTGTTAGTGAAAATAATTTGGTATTGCTTAAGTGTCTGTAAAGTTCTTTCATGTCTCTTTATTATACTGAGATCTGCTCATGTGTCCCTTCTGATCTTGTTAGATACATGTAGGAAGAGGCTTAACCTTTTTCTATGCAGGTGATTGCTTTTAATTTCAATGGAAGTCATATGCTGATATGAGACTGAGCTCTGGATCAATTTTTTTTTTTTTCCTTCCTGGTTTACTGAAGGGTGACTTGCTCTCCAAGGTGCTGCTGTTCCAGACACCAACTGCTGGATCCTGACAGGTTGAGATTTAAGTCTATTTACACCTTTTTTTTTTTTTTGCCTTTTCCCCTATATCTCACAAAAAAAAAAAAAAAAAAAGCAAAAGCAATACTGAATTGATGCTTGTGGCATAAGGCTGTTTCCTAGTTTCTTTTCAGTGACTGCCTTTAGGAAAATACTCCCCTCATTTACAGAGTATGTGTACATTTTTTGGTTTATATCCCCAAAGCACTTCTGTTTTTTTCATACCAGACCAAGATGACCAGCTGAGCTGGACGGAGGCTAGAACCTTTTATCCACTTAATCAAGGTATATTCCCATCGGTGAAGTAAAGGCTATTTTCTATCCTCTCTCTGGTTTTAAGGCAACTTAGATATAAGAATATAATCCTGTGAGTGGCTTTGCTAGACATACTGAGCAGCTTCTAAATATGCAAATCTTGAAATTAAAGATTCATTGTAATGAAACTGGGTAAGATGAGTCTTCTAAGATAATCACAGTAGAGATTTCAAACAATGTACCTAGCTATAGCTCCCTCTGCTCATCATTTTGGCTTTCTTAATAGTTCTAGCTATGAAAATGGATTTTTGTAAATATGTATGACGTTGTCTTTTTTTCCGTCTTGTTCCACTGAAGCTTCCATGTAAGAAACCAATTAATCTTAATAGCTTTTCTTGTTTTGTTGTACTGTAGGATCATTGGTGTTACAACTTTTCTTACCTGCAGATATATGTCCCCTGATTTAATGGCTGTGCTATGTATTTATATATAAAGTCGCCTTCTCAGAATCATAATATGGTCTTTTGGTTTGTAGTATGACTAGCAGGCTATGATTGAAGCAGGCTCTTGCTCTCTAGATTGGTATTTCATTTGATTTTTGTGCCAAACATTATCTCTCTACCCAATGCAATCTGAAAGTACAACCACCTTTAAAAAAAAAAAAATAAAAAAAAAAATTAACTGAACCAGAAGTGGGGGCATAAAATTAGGTATCAGAGTAGTAGCGTGCTCGTGGTGTACAAATTTGTCATTGCATACCATACCATCTCACTAGCTTTGGACAGTCAAACCCCTGTGCCCATGGCATAGCATCCTTTCCCCCTGGCATTAGTGAAAGGCACGCTTCCTAACTCAAGCCAGTGTATTTTAGATGTCAGTTTTCTATTTTCTCTCCCAGTGAGTCCCTGCCTTGATGGAAGGAAATGTTGTTTTCCTGATAATTTGGCAGACTGAAAGTTGAAAAATAAGTTATAAGTAGCAAATATTTAACACCAATTCATCCTTCTGTAAACTCATGGACTGCTCTTTTGCAGGCTGCAGAAAAATAAACCCTGGTAGAGGTAGAAATAAAAAACCCCTCCCTCTTCAGTGTCTGTGTTTCAAGCCAAAAACCTCTTGTCCTGTTTCAGAGCTTAGTCTCTGTCATGATAAACTGTACTGGACTAGGCCACTGTTTGTGAAGTTTGGACTGTAACAGTTTAGGATACTAAATGGAGCTTGAAAAATCACTTGCACATGCGGAACAGCATGTACTTAAACTGGCTCTCCAGAGGTGAAAGGCCAGAGTGTTCCCTACTGCACAGCCTGTTTTCTATTTCAAAACACATGGGTAGATGGGAAATTTTCTTATAATAAATACTACTTATTTTAAAACAATTTTCTGAAGCAATAAGATATGACTGTTTTATGT